CGCAATGAGAGGAAATTTAATAATTTAATCTCTTTTAGTCCAATAAACACGAAAGGCTTGGAATATTTGTATGAAATTACAGGAAGAAATTTTGCATTTGTTAGAAGAATTTCTAATTATTCTTTTTTTTCTCGTATTCTTAAATCTCATGTTGGGTGCTCTTCTGAGTAAAACAGCATGTAGTTTAGTTAATATCATGTACATGCACATAAAATCGTGTCATTGTGATATTCTAGCTTTTTATTTGAGGAAATAAAAGAAATTTATGAGCATATCATTCGGAAAAATACAATGATAAGTTATGTAGCAAATTATGCAAAACTCAAAGTTACTTAATTTTATTTTCGATTTTCATTAGAATTGAAAACGTCACTTCCACTTACAATTTACTGTGTGCATTTTTCATGTTTATTTGTAATTGCTAATTTAAACAACATCGCAATTTTTTATGAAATAAATTAAGCAACAATTAGAATAACTTGATATAGGCCCGTATACATATAACGATTGCAATTACTTCAAAGTTGAGAGGGAGACGACGGCGCCTAAAAAATGTGTACCTTTCCAATAATATAGAATCATCCGTTCAAATTAAAAACAATTAAGTTGCAGTAGTGATATCCCCGATTCTTTAAATAACGAAACTATAATGGATTCACAAAGGTAGAATTCAAACATTAATTTATGTACATGTGCAATTACAATCACTATCAAAATTGGCAGAGTTATCGATAGGTCATCCTGCGTCAACTTTCAGTGTAACCGATGGACTTGTCCAGAGAAATCATCTGTACCTGAGCAAAATCGCAGTGCCTCTTATTCATTCGTCAAAGAATAGAATCAGACATTTTATCTTTAAATACTCGTACATGTTCAAGAAAACCTTTATATTTGTGTCTAGAAATATTCTTACGATTTACGCAAATAACAAATTCTAGATTTCAAACTGAGTAAATCGATGACTAGCATCGTTTTAGATAACTCTGGGACTTGCGTAAAAATCAAAGAGCGGTAATGTTGACCTCCGGAATGTATATAGGTCAATGCATGCGCGATCGATAAACAGGTTGCACAACTGTAAACAAAACAGTCAAGGTCCTACGAAAATTCACGATGCATGAATAAAATGACAGTGAATTATTTTAAGCTTGATTTTTTTTTTATAAATAATGCAACATTGAGTATCAATCGAATGAGAGATGATAAGTATTTTTCCTATCTCCCGTCTTGTAATTCAAACTAAATACAAGGAGAAAGTTGTCTCTGAATAATCTGTATGACATCCAGCTAGAGAATACGTTAAAAACTTTATTTCAACAAAGTTTAACATTCAGTTTAGTTAAGTATATTATTCTTATCCAGTTTATTTCAGTTATACGTGTTATACGCGTACGCATAAAGAATTCTTCACTTGCCGTATAAAATTAATCAGTTACCTGTACATAAAGTTTGCTGCTCATTCAATAACACAAGATTTGAACAAAATAACGTTTTCATGAGATCAATAAGATGTTAAAGACCCATTTCAAATCGATAACCATATCGAAAATATTTACCGTTTTTGAGTTATACTGCAAAAACTTTCATGCTCCCTTGACCCCTAATTTGAGGGGCCAGCCCCTTTTTAATGATGTCAAATGAAAGATCTTAAAATTATGCACAATATTTGTGAAATATGTCTTAACAAATTATTTTTAGTTTAAAAGATACACAAGGAAATATATGTAAAATTTGGCGCTTTTAGGCATTCTCATTTTTGACCCCTATCTAGCACCGTTTGGAGCGCAGAAATCGAAAAAGAAAAACCGATGTGCACAACTTCAATTCTTCTAGTATTTAAATGCAGTAGACATTCTGCTCCAGCTTTTGTCGTTTCTGAGCCTTTGTCTGGAAACAAACAGTACCAAATTTTCACTTAAAGGGAAATAACTCGAGAGCGGAAGGGAATTTTTGAAATGTATGAAAACATTTTAATTGAGTTTTGTAACGTCCAAAAACTCTGAAAATTTGAGCAAAATCCGTTAAAAAATGAGCGAGTTACGAGGTCTCAAAGTTGGCGTCTAGGAAAAAAAAAGAACTAGAGCAAAGCTCGTTGCAAAGCAACGAGTAGGTCTTCCGTCCTGTTTTGACCGGAAGTGATGTCAACAAAAGAAAGCAATGAGCTAAGTCGTCTCCAGTCACTTTATAATTTCAATTTTGCATCAAAACCTTAAAAAATAAGCTATTTTTGGCTAATTCCGGTTTGACCGGAAGTGATGTTGACGGACGGAAAATTGATTTTTATGCTTCCAGTGACATATGTTACCCAAAAACTTGTCAAGAACGGCAAATATATGCATTTTCTGACGACTTCCGGTTTGACCGGAAGTGACGTCGCCGGGCAAATTTTGACGACTTCAATAGATTAAGCTTGACATTTTGAACAACTTTGCTTCTTGAACGTATTACAAATTCTCAATACTTTTTGAGATATTTGGAAAAAACTTTTGGCCCCTCTAGATCCCTTAATTTAGGGGTCAGCCCTTTTTTCGAGATATCATTTGAAAGATCTTTTAATTCTGCACAAATTTTGTTCAATATGTTATAAACAAATATTTTTAGTTTAGAAGATAAAAAGCAAAATATGTGTAAATTTTCGCTCTTTTAGGCGTTCTAATTTTTGACCCTTGTATAGCGCCATTTTGAATAGAGAAATCAAAAAACAAAAACCGATGTGCACAACTTCAGTCCTTCTATTATCTAAAATCAGTTCAATTTCTGCCCCAGCTTTAGCCGTCTCTGAGCCTTTGTCTGGAAACGAAAGCCTATAAATTTTCGTTTAAAAGGAAATAACTCAAAACCGGAAGTGATTTTTTGAAATTTTAGACAACATTCTGAAAGAGTTTAGTAATTAACTTCTAGAACCTCTGAAAATTTGAGCGAAATCAATTGAAAAATGAGTGAGATATGAGGCTTCGAAGTTGGCGTCTAGGAAGTAGAAGAAAAAAAAGAATAATAATCTTTACCAACAGAATCAGTAGAAGGTCTTCCGTTGGAAACGGAAGACCTTAATAATCTTAATCTTCAGAATCAGTAGAAGGTCTTCCGTTGGAAACGGAAGACCTTAATAATAAAAATGCACGAATCGAAGTATATGCCAGCCAGCATTCGACCTATGATAGAAGGATATGAAGATAACGAACAGTATTCAATCTCAAAGTCCATAAAATAATACAAAATAGGAGCAGAACAAACACGGACTCCAAAACATCAGAGGTGGGATCAGGTGCCATGGAGGAGTGAGCATCCCCTGCTGACCGGTCACGCCCGGCGTGTGCTCCTTGTCATGTTCGGGAAATAACGGAAAAATCCGTCGTCACTTCAGTGTACATGTATAAATAATGGACTAACAATTAGTACGAAAAACGTCAGTCAGCATTTGACTCAATGATAAATTGTATATGCTGTCAAGGTCATTGTATCGACCATAGAACTTACGAGATGATGACTTTAAACGAGACTGCTGATATTCTTGTTTCATCAACTTGCTTTTCAATAATTTACCTCGTTTTAGAAATTGTTCATACACATTTCATACACATTCCGAAAAAAAAATTACATTTACCATAAATGATGAATTCAGACGAGACTGTTAATATCCTTAACTTTTCAACCTGCAGCTGTATGCATATATTGCTTCGATTTAGAATTCTTTTGCATACGAACCAACCGGGAGACATGAAAACCCCACACAAAGGCGACAAGGAAACATCACAGCACAAGCAAGAAATGCAAACAAATGTGTTGTATTGCATGTAAATCACAATCCCTTGGAACCAGATAAACTAACAATTTTTGATCACATTTTCATGAAAAGAAAGTCCTGAAAAATTTCACCATGGCAGAATGGCTCAGTTGTCCGTTGTGGCCTGTGTGCCTTAATTTCTTTCTTTATTTATATATAATTTTTCTTACGACATGGTTGAAATAATCTTATTGTCATTATTCTATACATGCTATCTAAAATGTGTATTAATTATTCGGACAAACGATAACACAGGTTAGCTATATCTTGTTTGAAAATGGGGGAGGAGGTGTAGCAAAATTGAAAACTTACCTAAAAAATACTTGACAATTTACTCGTGAAGGCTTTGACAAAAAAATTGTAATTTTCAAAAAAAATCTTATTTTGTTTTGGGGTGGGGGATGGTATGTGCAAATTCTTTTACAACCCTATTTCATTCATATTTACATTATATAGCACATTACATGTATTTTGATTTTAAAACATTACCTTGTTTCGATTATACTGCAACCAAAAAAAAAAAAAAGAATGAAAGCTACACGGCATATGTCATAATTTTTGTTTGGTAAAATAATTAAATCCTCTAAAAATTCTGGATCCGTGCCTGAAAATGATTGATTTTCTTTTTTCACTCCATTTTAATAAAACAATAATGAAAATGTTTTCAGTTTTCTCAGTGCGGGAGAAATATTTAAGAAATTTGCTGCAGTAATAACGCTTTTAATAAGTTCAAATTTCTTTGTGTGCATGATGTAATATGATGTACGTATGAGAGAGGATGGCAGCCAAATGACACACATTAGCGGTTAGCAGCTGCCAAACATTAAAACAACTTTTAGGAATCGGGGAACATCCCAGAACATTAGAAGGTAATGGACACAAAATGACAAAGATAATAGAATGTATCTGGGAAATAATTTTATCGATCTTTTCATGCTCTTCCACTTTATAAGTTAAAACTATATTTACAAAAAAATCATTAAAAAAAATAAAACAAATTATCGGGTTTTAAAAAATTATTATGAATTTCATTTAATGCTAAAGAGTTGCACATAGATAGCATAACACTATAATCTCTTTTCCTTTTTTTTTTGTCTATGGAACTTTTTTTTCTCATGCCAAGCATACTTGATTTATTTAACCTGCTGGGAGGAAAATGCTGACTGTGTAGACATGCCTGCAGACACATTGGAAACTTGTGTTTCCTTAATTTCTACCTGAAACTTGTAAATATAGTTACCCAAAGGTAACATAGATCAGGTTGCCTTCTGATCTCTTAATTACGGGGGATTGGATGTTATACTCATTGTCTCCGGGGAGGTTCGCGCCATTGTATAACTAAAACATATTGTACATAACGACAGGCAGAATACCGTAAACAAACGTTCACCCCTTGATGACGATGGAGTGAGTACCATTATGCCAGTAGAACAACATCACAGATTAACTCTGTGTTTCCCCTTTTCTATAGCCTTCAGGTTAGGTCGGTTGGTAATTCTGACACATATATTATATTGGGGCCGGTCGGGTTCGTTAGCAATGAACCAATTCGATAAACGCTGATGGAATTTATTTGCATATATCGCGTAATGGACAGGTTTTATAGGATACAACGGAGATTCGATCAGATGGTGCGTTACGGTATTGTTTATGTTGTATTGATTCGTTTATCCTTGTCTGAACCCCCTTCAACAACATAATCGATGCGTGAAACTTACTAGTAAGAATATAAGTGCGCGAACATTATAAATATCGTGTAATAGGGAAAACAGTTTAGAGCATCAATCGAAGTTACGGCATGGAGTATGATGATTATGAGGATTTTGAGGTGAGTTTATTTTATTGCGCTTTTATGGATGGCAAAACATTTTATTAATGATTCTATTTCATTTTTAAGGTCTTCCGTTTCCAACGGAAGACCTTCTACTGATTCTGAAGATTAAGATTATTCTTATTATTCTTTTTTTTTTTCTTCCTAGACGCCACCTTTGAGGCCTCGTATCTCGCTCATTTTTTAATGGATTTTGTTCAAATTTTCAGACATTATAGACGGTAATAAACTCTATCAGAATGCTGTCAATAATTTCAAAAAGTCACTTCCGGTTTTGAGTTATTTCCCTTTAAACGAAAAATTATAGGCTTTCATTTCCAGACAAAGGCTCAGAAACCAATAGAGCTGGAGCAGAAATTTTACTGCTTTTAGATAACAGAAGGATTGAAGTTGTGCACATCGGTTTTTGTTTTTCGATTTCTCTATTCAAAATGGCGCAATACAGGGGTCAAAAAATAGAACGCCTAAAAGAGCGAAAATTTACACATGTTTTCCTTTTTATCTTGAAAACTAAAAATATTTTGTTAAGACATGTTGAACAAAAGTTGTGCATAATTGCAAGGGCTTTCATTTAATACTATAGAAAAGGGGCTGGCCCCTAAAATAAGGGATCTCTGGAGCTTGAAAGTTTTTGCTTTATAACTCAAAAACGGTAAATATTTCGATCTAGATATATCGAGCAAAATTGTTCTTTAACACCCTTTTGATCTGATAGGAATGTTTATTTGTTCGAATATACCGGGGTTATTGCATAATATGCAGTCAAAAGCAGGTCAGGTAAACATGTAGCGTTTTCATTCGGCAAGTAAATCTGACCTCATCATGTGTACAACTTGCAGTAAATAATATACCCTACGGTATTTTATGTTGATTTTCTTCAAAATAAGGTTTTAAACGTGTTTTATGATTAACTATTAAATCATGTATTACAACCACTTTTTCTATTTTTTTTTTATAAAATTTAATTAGTTTTATAGTGAACACGTCTTTAAAAGCGGAAGATATAAAATCTACCTTTCTACGTTTATCATTGTAACAAACTATATAATTAATCTTAAATTTTATACATTGAATAATTCACGATCATTAGTTGTATACATATTACAATCCCATTGTTCAGCGAGATGTTTTACAGTTATATAATCAAAGCCGCAAATCCCACGCTGTCGATGTAGGTCACGAGTGTACCAGGCACCTGTGGACATAAACAAAGCAAGTGTTTCTGATTGTATTAGACCATTGTGTAGAAAGACCTAAAAATTAATAGAAAACTGTGTTTTTAATTACATCGCGATTCAATAAGATTATTTTACCCATCTTTCATATTAAATCGTAATTCCAAACACTGGTGCATAAAATCATTTTGAACTGTGTTCGCTTTCTTTAGCCTGTTCTCGCAAAATAAACAAAGCAAGTGTTTGTGATTGTATTAGACCATTGTGTAGAAAGACTTAACAATTAATAGAAAACTGTGTTTTTAATTACAACGCGATTCAATAAGATTATTTTACCCATCTTTCATATTTAATCGTAATTCCAAACACTGGTGCATAAAATCATTTTGAACTGTGTTCGCTTTCTTTGGCCTGTTCTCGCAAAATAAAAAAAAAAAAACTCTATTCTGTGTTAATGTATTTTATTTCAATTGTAATTGAGAAGGGGCCTCGGAAAATAATTATAATTAGTGATGGATAGTGATAGGTAATATTGTATATGTACGTTTTATTTTCACCATGATCACTCTTTTGTTTCTCCATTTATCGGGGTATCATTTTTTTAAAGATTAAATAAACATTGAACATAAAAAGTAATTTATAATATACTATTGTTCACGTATTTGTAATACCGGTATAGCAAACAGGTTATATCCAACTTTGTCTCTAAAGTTGTGTTGCCCGGTCCTCGTTTACAAGCACGTGGTTGCAGAGAACAGTGGGCATATATGAAAATCCATTGTGTACTCCGATAGTTACAAATGGAAAATTGGGTTTAAAATATGTCGTTTCTTTCATATCATTTCATTTCACTCTATTTCAGCTTGTTTAAATCAATCGTAATCGCTTGTACATTTATTCATTGTAAGTTTTATGTATTTTGATAGCCGAATAAACACTAGCCCCCCCCCCCCCCCCCCCTGTTTTTATCGTTAAATTAAGCACTTTTGAGTATGCAGTTATTTGCTACTAAACTTTAAAATGTTATTGTACAAAAATAATATACTTTTTCGTTGAATAAACAGAATATCTCAACATTGCACGATTTGACATGCTTGTACATGTTCAGTCGATGTCAGTATAAATACACATGGATGCACTTTTGCCTAGAATAACAGCCAAAATATATACATCCAGAGTTTAAGAATACGATTTTTAAAAAAATTGAAAATTCGTTAATGCTATTTATCATTAACCAGTATCTCGACGATAAAACATCAATTTTAATTCTTTACCAAACGTCCTCCCGGTCAGTCATTGTTACTGTTGGTGACATGAAATGTAGATACTAGGGTCTCAGTAAATAATTTCACCTTAATTATCCTCATCGTCATTCGGTGTTTTCATCATTAGAAATAAATTGTTTGAGGACGTCTTTTTTTCTCTTCTCACATTGGTAACGCGTAGGAAAAAGTTTTTAAACAAAGCTAACGGCATTTTACAAAAAAAAGGAAAACGAGAAGAAAAAAACGTGTCTATTTAGATTAAAAACACAACGCATCAATTTGTATTTGATTAATCCACATACGTTTTTTTCCTTCTTCCATGCATTTCGACTATACGAAAAAAAAAAGGATCAGCAAATCCTTTGGTAATATTAAAAGAAAGGTGTTGTACCTTCAAAAGACACTATATCCTACAGGCCTTTAGATCGCTTAAAAAAAATTGTGTGTATTTTTTTTCAGACACCTCAATTTTTTTTCTAAGCGATCTAAAAGCCAGTGCTATATCCGAACAGTTATTACAGAGACTACCAAATATATCACAGCGTCCCTGAAAGAATTATTTTTAAATATTTCAATAAATTCTAATTTAGTTCAAAGAAAGCCACGCTGTTGTATACAAACATTCCAAAAATAATCTTTCATGTTTCATGGACCGACACGTGGTTAAATTACCTCTCATCACTATAAGTACCCCCCCCCCCCCCCCCTTTAACATGTTTAAAATGAATATACAATGTCTTCCTTCTGAGCCGAGAATGTTAGTTGGTTGATTTGTTTTTGTTCATGCGTATATACATGTAGATTAAGGCTGGTGTTGAATTCCGAAAGAAGGTCACAACCTATTTTTTTTTATGTAAACCAATAATCATTCTATGCCCCGCCATGAATATGGCTTGGGATATAATGTTTGTCATGTCGGACGTCTTCCATCCTGCCTTATCTCCTTCCGTCACACTTTGCCTTTAGCTAAGTTCAAAGCTCAGTTTCAAACAAACTAACCAAGATATTTTTAAAAATAATCAAACTTCATACACAGTATAGCTGCAGAAAAAAAAACAGACAGGAGAGTTGTACTGAGCCACCCACTGAAAAAACTGGTCCTACTAAGCAGAGTACGCTAGTACATAAGTACGATAGAAGACTTTAGAGTAAGCCAGCAAAATTTTGTGCATGCTGATTATCATCGGATTTGTTACATGCATTTCAGCAACAACAGTTATCTATTCTGTTAGCAGAAAAATAAACTTATTGCTAATACAATACATTGAAGTATTTATTTTCTCTAGCCTTTTGCTAGCATTTATTAATTTCATGCGAGTTCTTATACGGATATATGTCCGTTTGACCTTTTTTTCTGCGTTTCTATACTACTGGATTAGTCCATTTGTCTTCTAGGTAAGGGGTGACGCTATTATTTCGCGCCAAAATGTCACGTGTAGGTTTTTGCACCCTTTTTCTTGACTATTCTATTGAATGAAAATGAAAACTGCATGAATTATGTAAAGTCTGTTCTTTTTTGTCAGAATCCTGGTCGAGCTTTGGGAAAAAAAAAAACAAACAAACAATTCGGTGACATTGTGAAGTGAGTTAGAAGTTACATCATTTAAAGTAATAAAACATTTGATGTTGACCCCTCATCTCTGGGAAAAACTTCCTGAATCCGCACCATGGCATTCATATATCGCCGTCAAGTTTGTTGGGTCATTTAAAGCTTTAATTATTTTTCCCACGTTTCCAACAATCTTTGATACTTTGGCATACCCAAGAAACTATCAATCATATTCTACTCGTCAGTCATAATTGTTAGATCCCCAATTTCTTGTAGTTATCATATTTTCAGCTGCCACCTTTATATGTAGCCATGCTTTCAAGCATTAATCAAATGTTTTTCCTTATTTACGTTATCCTCTAAAACCATTTTAGACTTGCGGACAGAGGTATTCATCTTTTCCTCTTCCCCCCCCCCCCCAAATGTAAACGTTTATAGTTTATCATGCTCATAGATTCTATAGATATTGATGACATAGTCAGCCAAGCTTTTTAAAAAGCTGTTACGTGTTTTATTATTTGTTTATTTATTCGCGCAAAGGACATTGGGTAGTAAAGGAGCTCTGGGAATGTTGCACAACAAAATTTGCTTGACGTGTGTACAATTCCGAACTTCTTTTCTTACACGTTATTCTATTGAGCTCGCTGCACTCGCTATTATACGGTTCTTGAAAATGAAAGAAACGTCGTAGTCTTTATGAAAAGTAACCGATTTTCTTGATTGTACAAACATTTTTAAAGAAATTACGGGGGGGGGGGGGGTTAAGTTATACAAAGAAAAAAATAATATGTGTCATTTTAGATTACCGACGTGCAGTGATCTGATACATGTGTACCGTATTTATGAGAGCTTCATATCTCTTCCCTTGTCTGAAAAGTGTCGCATCCATTGATATTTTCTTTTTTGTTACGATTTAATGCTTTAAAAATGATGTCTTTATTTAATTTGGTTATTTTCGATATATAAATATCTGTCCCACCTGTCTTAGGAATGCGATAGTAAAGTGTCTGCCGTCCGTTCGTCTGTTCGTCTGTCTAGCTGTCTGTCTGTCTATTTTTCAAAATACTACTCTTCATACCGTTTTGGTCTGATTTCAATATAACTTGGCACACAAGTACACATCTCTAAGATACATAGTATAGTGCATCGGTTTTTGAATGCTTTAAAATGCGACGTCTTCAACAGTTTTTGTCTGAATTCAATATTGCTTGGCACATAAGTAGCCTTCACTAAGATACAATACAGTGGACCTTCAGATATCCGGACGCCAGATATCCGGATGCTTCAGTATCTGGACGCTTTTTCATCGGAACAGAATTTTAAAATGCTATTATGTCTTTTTTAACTGGTGATTCAGGTATCCGGACGCTTCACATATCCGGACAAATTGACTGGGAACCAAAGCGTCCGGATAAATGAGGCTCCACTGTATATCGTGCATTCGTTTTTGATTTCGATGAACGGTGTTGCCATGGTTACTAAAAATAGAAATTTCTGTATATAATTCCTTAAAAATGCTACTCCTCCTACAGTTTTAGTTTGATTTCAATATAACTGGACACACAAGTAGACTTCAATGTGATACATAATTAAGTGCATCGTTTTTGATTTCGATGAACGGTGTTGCCATGATTACAAAAAATAGAAATTTATGTGAAATTCCTTTAAAACGCTACTCCTTCTACAGTTTTGGTCTGATGGCAATGGCTAGTTTTCTCTTCCTTTGTTATAAGTACAAACAAATAGAGCTATAGTCTCGACATTGTGTTGAACCCAATGAATCATTTTGCCTCGATTATAGTCAGAAAAAAACTCATGGCTGAACATATCCAGTCATTTGGACGAGTCAAGATTAGTGACAGTGAAACTGTTAATTCGCTACCATTTTTCTATTAGTGAAACATTGCTGATATAATGCAGGGTGGGACGTGACCTTGACTCGAGTTCAAAGTCCCCAAGAATAAGATGTTTATGGTTGGATACATGGACAGAAAGAATATCTAAATAAAATGTTTGAAATTTTCCAGACGGTAACACATGGATAATATTTTTATAAAGAGAGCTAGTCATTGCTTAGATCAAGGTCATTTGGAGAGTTCAAGGTCACTTGGAAAGTTCAAGGTCACATATATTCCTTTACAGTCTTTTTCCTAGCTAAACATTGCAAGTTGCTTCTCTTAAAAGGTTTAAATTTTCACTTGTAGAACTTTAGAATGTGGCTTGACCTAGACTCAAGGTTACGTCTTCTTATCCGTAGCTCCAACGGAAGACCTATTCGTTGCTTTGCAACGAGCTCGGCTCTAGTTATAATTATCTTTTACTTAAAATATTTTAAAACAACAAATTATCTTTAACTTAAAATATTTTAAAGCAATTACCAATGTTAAGCAATAGTCACACTCAAACGAGAATATTGCATATCATGGAAATGCTTATATAAATTATATTTTAAAGAGTATATTGAAAGTTTTGTTCGATTAAATAAAAATAGGTTAAATTTAACTCATGTTGATAATGTTACACATGTATATTCGCATTAAGTCTTTTATATATCTTAAATCTGAATATATGCAATTGCAAAGGATTTATAACTCAAATTATTAACAATGATAACTAATATCAAAAGGGAATAATTCATCTTCTTTTCTTGCAAACTTTTGAAAAAAAGGTTCTTAAAATAATATAAACATCTAATTATCACATATATTTCAAGAATTAAAATATATTTTTTGATTATAATCAACAGAGCTGCATGACATACGATGGCCCAAAACCTATCGTCAGGAGAAGAGTGGAATGGACACCAGAAGCTTTGTTGCGGCTACTTGCTGATGCCATTACATACAAATCTCCAATCGAAGACATAACATTGATCATCCGATGCGGGGCTGATGTCAACGGACGTGTGAAGAAGGGATTACGACCTCTACATTACGCTTCATTTGTAAACTATATAGAATGTGTCCACGTCTTGTTGGAAAATGGCGCCGATGTAAATCTGACCGACGATATAGGCTACACCCCTATGCATATTTGTGCAAGAAGGGGTTTTCACAATATTTTGAACGTCTTAATCAAACACGGTGCACATTTGAATTTCTGCAAAGAGAAGGAGATAGAAAAGGATAATTTAAATGAGAAAGACGAATCAGTGGCCATGTCTCCGCTAAGTATGGCGATCGAAAACAATTACATCGAATGTACAAGGATTTTGCTAGAAAACGGGGCTAGTCCTACTCATAAATATTTCATGGGATATGAAATAAGTATAGTGCCACTGGATAATTTAGAATGTATGGAACTTTTGCTAAGCCATGGTGCGGACCCAAACGTTTATAACAGATGTGGCGTAACTCCTTTGATGAGGGCCTGCAAGGAGCAAAAGCTATCAACTGTTAAACTTTTGTTGAAGTATAATGCCGATGTAAATGCCACATGTCCTGCTAGATTTGAACAACGGAGCCCACTTCAATGTGCTATACAATCAGGAAATACTGAAATCACTGAATGTTTGCTGAAACATGGTGCCTTTTTGAACCGTCCTGACACCCATAAAAACAGTCCACTTCATGAAGCAATTGTTAGAGACAACATCGCTATATGTGAGCTTTTACTCAAATATCATGCTAATGTCGAGGAAAGGACCGAAAGTGGTGCCACACCATTAATGCTGGCTTGTGCTACAGTCGGCCTGAAAAAACGGCGACAGATCGTTGAGTTACTGCTTAATAATAACGCCAACGTCAATGCTTTCTCAGAAAACTCAAGTTACAGAGACCCATATCTTCCTCCTCTGATAGAGTACTTGAAAAATAATGGATGTGATATTCATTTTGACGTCATTTCTTTGCTCATAAAATTTGGCGCCAAAGTAAGTTTTCGTGGATATCTTGGAGTCGTTCGAGCAAAGGACCATTTCGGAATCCTCCATTACATGCACAATGTATTTGGAAAGAAGGAAATTTGTCATTTACTTTTTGTGGCTGCTTGTCTTTATGATAATGATAGCATTAAGCATGTTAACACAGTTAATGTAGAAGCCAAAAAATGCCTGATGTCCTACGGGTGTCAGCCAAGAGAACTAAAACACCTTTGTAGGTTGTATATCCGGGATCGAATTTGTACCGGACTGCCCGAGAAAGTCAAATCCCTCCCTCTTCCAAGTCTTCTCAAGTCCTACCTCCTCTTTGATCTATGATAAAGAACTATTTTTATTAGTATATAGAATTGTTGCAACTGTTTAAGAGTTTATTTGTTATAGTGCAGAATCTCAACATTAAAATGTGAAAAACAAATGTTTCTTCTGTAGGTGTGATAAAATGAAACTAAAGCTGTCTGTGGGTAAAAATGGTTTATTGTCTGAGAAATCATTTATTTACCTAAGTCCTTCAATTGTAAGACACATAAAACGACGACTAAATGTGAAGCTTTTCTGTCGTGCACCGGTGTCTTAAGCAGTAAGTGCAATTCTGTTGCATTCCTCCCGATTTTCTGCCTGCTTTTGTGTCTGTGTTCCCAGGAACTCTTCCATGTTTTGTTTAAAATATATCGCCTACCTGCTAAGAACAATATCCATAACTTTTTAAAAGGGGATTAGCTTATTAGAAAGCAATAATCTAATACTGTATTTTTCTTTCTGGCTTAATGCTTTTAATAGGTAAAGTGTACTTAATATGCACATTCTTACAATGCTTCAAAGATTTATCAAGGTTTTCAAAATTAACAAGATTCAGTAGTTTTCACAAGAGAATTTTTTGTCTGAAGTCAATAAAATATAACATAGGTCTTATTAAATAAAAATTTATTGAAATATTCCGAATATATATTAAGCGTCTTTGATAATTATTAGTAATTCTGACCCTCTTCTTAAAAAATTAAAACGATTATAAATTGAATTAAAAATAGAAACGTTTTAAATTATACGCTTATTCTAAAGGGCTTTACCTTATACAATATAAGAAATAGAAATGTTAAATTTAAAAAAAAAAAATCTCCCTATATACACCGGTATCCTCCATGAGTAAATGTTGCATAATATGTGACCAACCGATATGGGACAATTACTCCTTCTTGGCACCTGCTCTCACTTATGATATGTTTAGAGGTCAGCGTTTGCTCTGCTCTCAATTTGTGTAATTTTAATTGATTTCTGATCTTGATAACTGTTCTTTATATCCATGCTTTATTTACAAATATCCATGTTTTATATACAAAACCTCCATCAGTACTGGTTGCAGATAATTTTTACCATAGCCTTTCTGTTCTAAATAGATCTGTGAATAGCATCTCGAGAATTCAGATTGTATAAACTGTGTCATGGTGTGAGGTAGAGGGTATCCCACTGCTCCAGATCAAAGAATTAATACCTGGCGAGGAGCTCCAATCGAGGGTTACAAATATATACCTAGCATGCTTCACACTACTGCACTGCTGCCGACGGTCATTTGTTCTTCATATTACATTCCAAGAATATCTCTCTCACCGATCTAATTGTCTGTGTAAATATCATATCAGACGAGGCTATTGCAGATGTCCAATATCATTTCATCTGCTGAGTAATATAATGGTGGCGTGTTAAAAATGGATATCAAATTTTGTCTTTAAAAAACTTTCATTTTAAAATGGAATATTTTGGTTATGTTAAAATAACAATACACGAAACAAAAAAGCCGTCGTCAACTGCATGGCATAAAAGGAAACTATTACAATAAATAAATGGTGTATATCGTTTTTCTTTTTAAGAGGCATTAATCTAGATGCAATTGCCAAAGTTATAGTTTTTCCCTCACATTTCAATAGATTAATTAATAAGAGATGTGCATGTTGTAAAATTAAAAATACTTAATAAATGTTAAACTAATACATATATCATTTAGATGTCAAAAGACAAAAAGTTCTTTAAAATTACTTTGAAAAGGTTAACATAAAAAAAACCCTGAATTTATTATGTGATATTTGTTTTAATAACAGGTTGACTTCTTTATACAATTTAGATCATATGATTTACATCTAAAACAGTCTAAAGCATGAAAAAGTAATGTGTACAACATGTAATAAAAAATAATTTTCTACGGTTTATGGTTGTACATTGTATATAATTTTTAATTCAAATTCTGTACCTCATCAAGCTTCGGGGATAAAACACAAAGAGTTTGGATAAAAACAGCATTTCCAAAAAGCATGTGATATTTTACAGATTCTTATATATTTCTTTTAAATCTTCTTAAACTGTACATTATATTTAATAACTTTACTAAATCTATGTAAAAGAGACAAGAATTATTTAAAACAAAGGAAAGAGAACAAAGAACTTGTAAAAAAAAAACCTTCCAATTAGAAAATTTTAAAAATAGTTAAGCAATTAAAATCATATGCTAAGAAACGGAACAATCCCCAGAAATGTTGACGTGTGAAGTATTACATACAGGGGGAAGAACCTGACATTTATTTCATATCAATAGATACACATTGCTCTTAGCACAAATGATTATTTTGCCCTAGTTACACAAGGAGACTTTGCCAGGTATGCTGTTTCAAGTACCTTAAAGAATGCAAATATCACAAGCAGACAGTGGGTAATTGGTGTTAGTTGCTTCTATACAACATGTTTGAAATCCTATCCTACAAAACTAAACATTTTACAAAGTTGTTTTTGTTATTTGTGCTTAACATGCTTATTTTAAATTCAAGATTAAGTAAGAATGAACAAAAAACTAATTTAACGTTTGGAGGCCTGTGCAATAATTGCTTAAAGCCTTAAATTAATAGTGCAAAATTACACGATAATGGAAAATTATTCTTGTAATATTTTTGGATGCATTATACTTAAGCATCTTATTATGACTCACTACAAAAACGAGATATGGGAAGCTAAATCTTTGTTTCTCACACCTAGAAAGCATCCCTAAACTTTCTCTTGTTTTCTTGCATATTTTGTTAACAAAAGGAATGAGTGTTTAGCGAGACCTTTCATTAAACACAATCTGTCGAAATACGCCTGAAATATTGCATAGTCGGCGCTAAACACTACTTAATCAATAAATTTAATTAAAAACGAATAAATTGACGACCTTTCAATATTTTTAAATTGTTATAACGACTTTTTTCTGCTATAACAAGCTGTCTAAATTCGAATGTAACGAATTCTAAAATTTGTTTCTTTATAAAAGAAATTGATTTAATTTAATTTAAAACGAAGCCGAGAATTTGTTTTATCAAACTGAATAATATTTTTATAGGTCTCAAACGTCTAAATCGATTAAACGAATTTAATTCGTTAATACAAAATTTAGTATTCATTGAATGAAAATAGTTTGGTATTACAATTTTTAAAATCGTTGAAACGAATTCATAAAATAAATTATGAAATAAAGGGAACAGTGATCAATATCCAAAGTCCATTCAAATGATTCAAACAAGGATGCGAAGGGACAGAGCAAATAATGTGAAATCACAAATTTTCGTGGGGGTTTAATTTTCGATGTTTTCGAGGTCTGAAGAGACCCTACGAATTCATGTCCACCACGACGTGTAAAATGTTACATACATTACTACTCAACAATAATACTTCATCCACGAATTCCAATCCCCACGAACCAATACTTTTTACTCAAACCACAAATATTTGACCCAACGAAAATATGTGATTTTACAGTACCTCTAAAACATAAAAGTAGGATAAAGAGCTATGGAAGAGTAGGTATCTCTCTATCAAACGGTCTAACGCATAACCGGGCACACGAAAAAATCCGTAGGGAAGTAATGACTTTACAATTTGTTTAAGAAAATCCAGTTAGAATTAGACTTTTAGATAGATTGTATTTGAAGACAAGATTTGGTATACCAGACCTAGTCAAATCACAAAGCTGTATCGTTATCTGCTGCTCCGTGACTTTCTACAACGTCATCGTTTTCGCCGTTTTTATTGAGGACTTCCTATCTTCTGAAGTTGATTTCTTTTCAACGAAGCAGAATATTAAGCTATAATTTAAAATCTAAATCGATGTAACAATTCTTAATTTGAACGTCTAGGGTTTCTTTTCGTTTTTGCTCCATTTTACAGAAAATATGACTGCAGACATTATTTAGTGTATCGTTTGTAAATTACTAAATTTTGACCTGATCCTCGATCCGATTTTTGCATTTTTGAAATCTGGATAAAGTTTTTAATAAGTCTTGATATTTTAAAATGAAATATATCAAGTATTCAATCTCCAAAGTCCATAAAACAATACAAATATAGGAGCAGAGTAAATACGGACTTCCGAATCATCAGAGGTGGGATCAGATGCCATGGAGGAGTGAGCATTCCCCTGCCGACCGGGCACACCCGCCGTGTGCTCCTTGTCATAATTGGGGAATAACAGAAAAATCCGTCGTCAATTCAGCATGTCAATAATGGACTAACAATTAGTATGAAAACATCAGTCAGCATTTGACTAAATGATAGATTGTATTTGCTGACAAGGTCATTGTATCAACCACAGAACTTACGAAATGATGAATTAAAACAAGACTACTGATATTCTTGTTTCATCAACTTGTTTGTCAATAATTTACTTCGTTTTAGAAATTGTACACACGAAGAGCATGCTCTTCCGTATCAAATTAATTGAGAGATATAAACTCCGTATGCAGGTGATGAAGGTATAAAAAGTAATACAAATCATTTGATTTTATTGTTAAAATATTTTTACCAGATGTGGATAACATATGACGTCAAATAAAAAAAGACACGACAGAAGTCAACAAACATTCTGAACAACCCTCGTAGTTTGAATTAGAGCTGGCTAGATAGACTGTTCGCTAAAATGCAGGTATTCAAAAGTAAATGCCTTATCACTACGTATAGAGAATCCTATTTAAAAGAAAAGTTTGATATTGTTAAATTAATTTCATTGATATGCATAATTACAATCAGATATTGAGGTAAATGCCCTAAACCTTTAAGAAATAAATTCAATTTCTGAAGATTCATGAGGAAATGCATATGAACTGAGAAGCTTAGTGTAGCCATATTTCATGAAGAGCGACAATTCGTCTCACAGAAATGAAATTGATAGTATCTTGTTGCACACTTACAGAACACCTGCTATCGTATTTCAAAAGATGAATTGGCAACAACCTAAAAAGGAGATTTAGGAATGAATATTTAGAGAAAGACATACCTAGATAAAAGAAAAAGAAAGAATTTTTTTGAATGACCGAGAATTAAGATAATATGCTATTCTATATAAATGGGACATAAAAAACTTCATGCTAATACAAGAAAAAGAAATAAAACGTGTGAAGAAGA